CCCAACAGAAATACTCCAGGTGGACACCTTCAGCAATCAGGAGCTCCTCAGTTGCTCATAGAAAATCCCACCTTAGAGTTTACAAAGACTTATGGGTAGAAAAGCCACACTAAGTAATTTACTACACCGCAGTGCCTTAGGCAGTATGCTACCAGAGCTCCTTCAAAGTGTAATAGTCATCCTTAATGGCATAAAGGCCAGTCCAGAAGCCATCTTAGAGATTACTTCAGTAATAGATTTAATGAGAATTTTTTAATTTACTTACCTTGTTAAAACACGGATAATTGTTAATATTAGTTTTTTTTTCCCCTCTTCAAATAACAGCCCTTTTTCAACAAGAAATGTCAGACTATCTATACATTTGTTTTGGGGAGAAGTACAAGTAAACTACGGTGTTTTAAAATGTGTATGTAAATCAGAATGTTCAATGCATGTTGTACTTTTAAGTTGTTTAGAAAAACACGTATATTGAATTGCACACATAAAAATGGTTGAATTGGCTAATGTTGTGTTATGTATATATTTCACCACAATAAAATACATTTTCTTAAATGTATAATAATTACTGTTTTTCATATTTACTCTGCAGATGGTGTTGAAACTTTGGATTCTGGATGGCTGACATGTCAGACTGAAATAAGATTACGTTTGCATTATTCTGAAAAACCTCCTGTATCAATAACCAAGAAAAAATTTAAAAAATCTAGATTTAGGTATGACTATGTGTATTTGTTACTTGAGCCATTTTCACTAGTACATTAGTATTCAGACCCATTTGATTTTAGCCTTTAAGTGTATTCACTAAGAAAATAACACTTAAAATGTTACATTTTCTAATAATTACAGGGTCTTGTGATAGTGAACTGCTTTTTCTTGCTTAAATAGCCACAGTTACATGTGCTTACCTTAGTCCCTAAATTTGGAACCAGAAGAATTTGTTTTTAAATAGATAAATGGTTTCTTTTTATAGTTTCTGCCATTTAAAGTTTCCTAGTGTAGCAATAAAATGTTGATAACAATGGAAATGTGGGGAGAATGGCATAAGCAGAGAAAAACCATTATTTAGAATTACCCTTCAGTGTTCTAAACTTGTCTGTGGCTTGAAAACAAGAAACTTTCCATGAAGAAAAAAAGTAGCAGTTCCAGATTAGCATATATGTATATGATGTTTGTGCATGCACATGTATACATATACATACATACATGCTTAAAAATACATACATATAAGACAAAACCCATTGCCATTGAGTCGATTCCAATTCACAGTGACCCCTGTTGGGTTTCTGAGGTGATAAATCTACGGAAGTAGATTGCCCTGTCTTCCTTTTGTGGAGTGGCTGGTGAGTTTGAACCACCAAACTCTAGCTAGCAGTCAAGTGTATTAGGCATCGTGGTTGTTGTTAGGTGCCATTGAGTCAATTCCAACCTATAGTGATCCTGTGTGCAATAGAAAGAACCACTACCCTGTCCTGTGCCGTCCTCACAGTTGTTGCTGTGTTTGAGCCCGTTGTTGCAGCCACTGTCTTATCAGTCTAACTCCCTGGATGACTTCCTCTTTTTTGCTGATCCTCTACTTTACCAAAGATGCTGTCCTCCTCTAGGGACTGGTCCCCCTGTTAACATGTCCAAAGTACTTAAGATGATCTTGCCATCCTTATTTCTAAGGAGTATTCTGGCTGTACTTCTTCCAAGACAGATTTGTTTCTTCTTCTGGCAGTCCAATATTTATTCTTCACCAAAAGCATAATTCAAAGGTGGTCTTCCTTATTCATTGTCATTGAAGCAATTGAAAATACCATGGCTTGGGTCAGGCATGCTTAGTCTTCAAAGTCACATCTTTGTTTCTTTAACACTTTATAGAGAGGATTTTTGCAGCATATTTGCCCAGTGCTCATCTTCTAGAACTATATTGGTGTTCCGTTGCTATTCATTCATAAGGTTTTCAGTAACCAAGTTTTTCAGAAGTAGACTGCTATGTCCTTCTTCCTAGGCTGTCTTAGTGTGGGAGCTCCACTGAAACTTGTCTACTGGGTGACCCTGCTGGTATTTGAACTATCATCGGTGGCAGAGCTTCCAGCAACATGGAGGCCATTACAGTACAACAAACTGACAGACAAGTAGTAGATGTGTATATATATGTATGTATGTATTTACATATATATGTGGATCTCTAGGAGAGCTCTGGTAGCATAGTACCTAAGGCACTTGACTGCTAACCAGAAGGCTGGTGGTTCAAACCCACCAGCCACTCCTCGGGAGGGAGCTTGGGCAATCTACTTGCATAGTGATACTGCCTTGGAAACCCAAGGAGGGGTCGCTATGAGTTGGCTATGGATCTCTGGTGGTACAGAGGTTAAAGCACCCATCTGAAAACCGAAAAGTTAGCAGTTACAACCCACCAACCACTTCACAGGAGAAAGATGAGGCCATATGCTTCCATAAAGATTGACTGCTTTGGAAGCCATATGGGGTAGTTCTGCTCTGTCCCGTAGAGTCATTGTGAGTCAGAATCATCTTGCTTACAGGTTTGGTTTGGTGTTTTTATATATATTTATTTATTTAATGATAATGTGTTTTTGGTGAAGGTTTACGCAGCAGTTCAGTTTCCTATTCAACAGTTTATACATATTGTTCAGAGACATTGGTTGCATTCTTCACAACACCTGAACATTCTTGTTATTTTCATTCTGGTTGCTCCATTTCCATTAATTTACGTTCCTTGTCTCCTTTGTTTTAAAGTCATTGTTGACCGTGTGGTCTCATATGGATGGTTTTTTAAAGGTTCACAGTACTCACAGGTGATATTCTTTATTTTGTGATCTAATCTGTTACTTAGCTAAAAGGTGACCTCGGGTTTGTTTTGGCTCAAGGTTTAAAAAGTATCTCAGGGCAACAGTCTTGGAGAGAGCTGCTCCACTATTTAAGCCTATATTAATTTGTGTAAAACGTCTGTGTAAGTCACTAAAATAGTAACTTTATTTTTCTGCAATGTCATCATTATACATACTTCTGAGTGAGCTGGCTTCTGTAAGAACCAGGGCACTCTGATTTGAATTGTGACATTTCGGACTGAGAGTTATATATCCTTTTCTGACTAAATGTCAGGGTCAGGTTGAATGGGCCATTTTTAGTAACTGACTTCACCATAAAATTTATAATATTAATATTATAGTTTATAGATCCATAAATGTTTGTTAGCTGTTTAAATATTTTAGGGTATGCTTACATATCTCAGTCATAAAGTAGATAAAGTGAAGGGTGGATAGCAGTTCACAGTCCTTTGCAGTAGTGGTTCTAGGTTCTACTGTTAAGTTAAGGTAGACTTACTCTCTGTGCCTTAACTTTTTCTAGGCCTTGGCTTTGCTTATGAAAAACTGAGGTTCATCTGCAAAATGCATTTGACCTCAGAGATCCTATAACTAGTTAGATATGCATAGTTGACTGTTTTCTTTGCATGTTAAAAAAAGCAAATAAATTGTTTTGCTGCAATATATTGTCTTATTTCTTGAGATAAGGATAGAAGTTTAAGCGTTGGTGGTTGGGCTTATTAGAATGCCTCCCTACCCCCACTAGAGAGAGCAGGCCCTACCAATACAATTCTTTTAATGTTATTCTGTTATTTGTATTACAACTTGAATTTCATTCTACTCTAGAATGAAAAATTTTAGTGGCGCAGCTGTTATTCTCTTTAATAACATTGCTCCCAAAATAGATGGTATTAAAATTGTTTAACCTACATACATTCCGACTGGTTCCTGAAATATTCCAGAATTGACTTGACTTTTTGGGTTATAAGTAGTATCTGTGTAAGTAATTGCTTCTCATTGGGAGGACCTTAGCTTTATGGCTTGGATAACTGGTCTTAGCTGTTTGCACTTCTTTGAGGCCTGTAAGAGTTTGAGAAAATGATTTTTTTGTTGTTTCATTATGTTCATATATTTCATATCTTTATGTGTCTATGTACATATATAGGTTTAATATAAATATTTTTCTTTGGTAATATATTTTCACAAAGTATCTGAACTTTTGTTGTGGTAGAGAGAGGAAAGATCTTTAATTTACAAATTTCAACTCTACCAGCCTCTTAATACACACTAACAGGTTCAGTTTTGTGCTTGTTTTTTATATTATACACATTTTGAAAATTCTCAAAAGGAAGTCTTACTATTATTTGAAGGTCCAGAAATTTATATAGCCAGCTATAAATGGGGTAATATTGAAGACCTCTTTAGGTTCATTTAAAAAAAAAAAAAATGAGCCAAAGAATTAACAAAAACAACCTTGGCAGACATACTGGACATTTATCCCCTTTACAAACTTGCAGAAATAGATGTATATAAAAACACACGCATTTGTAAAACATACCTAATGCCTTAATCTATGTTTAATCTTTGTATAACATATTATTTAGAATAATCAGGTAGCATTTTTAAATTCAGCATCTAGGTGACATTTGCATGACTTTACTTGTGTGCCACTTTTTGTATTTCATTATTTTTTCCTATTGTGTAGGGTAAAGCTGACACTAGAGGGTCTGGAGGAAGATGATGATGATAGGGTGTCTCCTACTGTTCTTCACAAAATGTCGAATAGCCTAGAGATAGCTTTAATAAGTGACAATGAGTTCAAGTGCCGTCATTCCCAGCCAGAGTGTGGGTATGGCTTACAGCCTGATCGATGGACGGAGTATAGTATACAGACAATGGAACCAGATAACCTGGAACTAATCTTTGATTTTTTTGAGGTGAGTAATTATTTTCTGTAAGGGGGTTGAAAACAAATGCAGGTGTTAGCTTGTTTTTACATACATTTTAATTTTTATTTTAGTTTACTAATTTATGTAATGACATAATCCATACAACTTTTTAGATATTTACTCCTCTGCATATTTTAATAGAATTATAAAACTTGGAATTGACAGACTGGAGTAATGTTAAAAATATAATTAAGAAAACTTCAAGATGGTAAATATTTTACATCAAGACCAGATATCTTAAAGTCTGTACTTACAAGTAATCTTAATAAAAATTAGTTTTATCCAAAGGAGCCTCCAAAGTTAGAGGGGAGGAAAGGTATGATTCTTGGTAGGCAACCTATACAAGTAGAATAATGAGACCTCTTCATGGGGAAGGCTGACTTGAGGCATTTTATTATGTGAATTTATTCAAACAGTGGACTCATTTTTACAAGTTTACGTGATCTCATAAATATGTAATATTTATTATGAAAATTGTGCTGGGGAGAACAGTTTGATTCCTCAGTGGACTGTGAACATTACTTGGACATAAAAAGAAATGAAGTCCTGATACACTCTACAACATGGATGAACCTTGAAAACATTATGCTAAGTGAAATGTCACACAGGACAAATACATGATCCTGCTTTCATATCTCATGTGAATGTTTAGAGACCAAAGTTTATTAGTGCTTACTAGTGGTAGGAGAGAAGGGAAGGGGGGGGGTCACCATTGCTTAAAAGGCACTGAGTGTCTGTTAATGGTGGCAGAATAAGTTAGAAAAGGATAGTGGTGATCGTACATGATGAGCAGAGTCATTGTCACTGGATTGTACAAGTAAAAATTGAATTGGCAAATGCTTTCTCACAAATATTTTTACCATGGTAAAAAATTATGCCAGCTTTTTCAGGATCTGTGCTGCTAACTTCCCAGAGGTACTTGTGTTGCTTATTAGAGCTCATTAGCTCACAGGCGTTCAGATACTCCCCAGAGATAATACTTTACACCTCCCCAAAGTCCTTACTACATTGTGCCCGACAAAGCAGTCATACATGTGATAGTTTCCTTAACCTCTAGCTCTCTCTGACACTTACACCCCCTATTCCAAATTAATTAGGGTTTGAATCTTTGAGGAAAAGGAATTACCTAGCACTGGCATCTAGCAGCTATTTCTTGAAAATAACAGAATTCAGGGCAGACTTTAACCTGCTGATTAAAACTTGCTATTCATCATCAAAATTACTATAAACTTTGAGTTGTTTAATTTGGGTGGTGTCTTTAGACATAGCCTTTGTGAGTGTCATTATGGTTACTTTGCATTATAAAGAATCAAGTATTTCCTCTGAGATTCCTTAAGAAGAGAAAAACTACTGGCTATGTGATAAAATCTATGGTATTTTACTGTAAAAATAATGTTTTTGTTGAACTTTTCCTTACTGATATTCAGAACCTACCTTTTAATATTCTCTTGAACTACCTAACTTTGCCTTTATTTGTTAGTATTTTTGGAAATATTGTGTTATTCATAGACTGGGCTGATAAAATATCTAATGTAGTCTCCAAGTGAATATTCAATTTCATAGTTACTATCCCTCTGTGCCACTCCTCAGAAGGAAGGTTGGGCAATCCTACTTCCGTAGTGATACTGCCTCGGAAACCCAAGGAGGGGTCGCTATGAGTCGGGGCCGACTCGACGGCACATAACAACAACAACAACAACATCCCTCTGTGCCACTGTGTTGCTAGATATTTAGAGACTGTAATATATATTAAAAATTCACTATAAAATACCTTGGTCTTTGAATGCTAAGGCACTTTAGTACCTTCCCATTAGTGCTCTAAACTCACCTAATATTTCCTAGAGAACCAGAAGTGTCAATCAGTAGCATTATGATCAATAAAGTAAAATATAAAAATCTTTACAAATTAATGTTTTAAGACAAAATAGATCTTACTTATTATAAAGAAACCATCTAGCGTACCTGAATATAAATTTGATTGTATTTCTCATCAATACTCCTTAAATATCCATAGATTCTGAGTTGACTGTAAGGGAGGTTTTTTGTTTTTGTTTTTTTTTTTGAATTATTTAAATGGGAAATAACCACAGTACACTATAGAAATTCAGTTTATTTGAAACCTTATTTTTCCAGGAAGATCTCAGTGAACCCGTAGTTCAGGGCGATGCTCTTCCTGGACATGTGGGTACAGCATGTCTTTTATCATCTACCATTGCTGAGGCTGGAAAGAGTGCTGGTATCCTTACTCTTCCCATCATGAGCAGAAATTCCAGAAAAACAATAGGCAAAGTGAGAGGTAAGTTTGTGAATCAGGGTGGTAGTTACATGGCCCTTTACAAATAAGCTAAGGCTAGGTTGGAATTTTAATTAGTTTCAAGTGGGTTTTACAAGTAGGGTAAGATTAAATGATTTCTTTCAGAATATTAAGTAATACAATAATAATTTTAAGGAGCATATCTTATTTTTCTAGTGGCTTTACTTTGAATAAATTCTTTAAAATGCATCTTACTGAAGTATAATTAATGCACAGTGAAAAACACAAAACTAAAGTGACATGGGTCAGTGGTTTTTTGTTGGAGTTTTCTATAAATTTAAGAGATAAGTCGCTTGTCAGATATGTAATTATCGACAAGTAGGAATTTGTCACAGTCATCTTGTTATGTGCTTTTTCGTGGTGTTGATTTCTTTGTTCCATATAATTTTCTGTGCTGAGCTCATATTGTTTATGAATCATGTTATCACTTCCTTCATTGCTATTGCTTTAGTATTTTCTAAATACTTGTGCGGGTCCTCTTTTCTATTTTGATGTGAAGGTTTATCATTTTTCTTTGAGGTTACCCTGTTATTTATAGTTCTCATCCCAAGTTTACAACAGTCTGTTCTGTCTTACAGTTGTCTTAAATTCCCTACTATTTAGAAGTTCTGTAACTGCACAGTTTTTTCCCCTCTTTTTGGTTTGTAGTTGTCCTCATTTGTCATTTGATGTCTCTGATTCCCTGTTTACAATCTTGTAGGCATATTTACTTTGGATACTTCCATAGCTGGATTGATTTCTAGGTTATATCATCATGAGTGTTAATGGTCAGTTGTTGTTGGCTGTTGTTGGTTTCTGTCCAAAGGGCTCCCTTTAGCATCTCTTGTAAGGTTGTTCTGGTTTTAACAAATTCCCTTAATTTCTGCTTTTCTGGAAATGTCCTAATTTCACCATCATATTTGAGGGACAGTTTTGCTGGATACATAATTCTTGGTTGGAAATTTTTCTCTTTCAGGGTTTCATATATACCATCCCATTGTCTTCTTGCCTATGTGGTTTCTGGTGAGAAATCCAAGGTTAGTCATATTCGTTGCCCCTTGTAGGTAACTTTTCATTTTTCCTATGCTTCTTTCAGGATTCTTCGTCTTTGCTTTTGGTGAGTTTGGTGATGATGTGTCTCAGTGATTTTCTTTTGAGGTCTATCCCGTTGGGGTTTGTTGACCTTTTTGACTGTATATATTTTCATCTTTCATCATGTCAGGAAAATTCGCATCCAGCATATCTTCTAGTTTTTTCTCTGGTTTATTTGTCTCTTCCCTTTCCGGAATTCCAGTGACACATAGGTTATTCCCTAAGGCACTTGACTGCTAACCAGAAGGCTGGCGGTTCAAACCCACCAGCCACTCCTCAGAAGGAAAGTTGAACAATCTACTTCCGTAGTGATACAGCCTCGGAAACCCAAGGAGGGGTCGCTATGAGTTGGGTCCCACTTGACGGCACATAACAACAACAACACGTGAACCTTAGGCTTTCTTCTTTTTTTTTTTGACATGTATAAGTTCATTTAGTTTATAGCAGGTAGTCATGGCAAGCCACTCAGATAAGACCTTACAATTTTCATTTAGAACCAGAGAATCAGAATTAACTATTACAATTGCAATGTTAGCTCAATGATTAGAGTCCAAATCGTTAGACTTCAGACTATTGCTTTAACATGAAGTCTTAGGAGAAAGGCTCAGACCACAAGTTGAAGTTGGCATAGGTCCAAGGTCAGTGTCAGACAGAATCTCAGTTCTATCTCTGTCTTCTCTCAGTGAGTAAGCAGATATTTAGGGTTGATATGTGGATTCACCTTGGTTCCACATGACAGGGGCCAGTGTGATATCAAAGACTAGTATGTTACATCTTTTCTGCAGGATTAGCGAGTAACTGAATGATGCATCTTTTCTTCAAGATTAGAGACTAGGGAGGTTGTTTAGATTTATGCTATGTACTAGCAACTGACACCAACTGATACCAACTGTAAAAACGGCAAGGAGGCCACATGTTCTGACCTCCTCTAAACTCACAGGAGGAAGACAGCAGTAACCCAAGGCCACCAAGGCCTATTACTGCAAGGCCAAACATGCTGCCTCCCTCCAGCCCTTTCACCAACTGTTCCTCCCAAAGTACCCACCACCTCTCTCCTGGGTTCGATAATTCGCTGCAGTGGCCACACAGAACTCACAGATTACAGGGTTTATTAAGGAAGCACCAGGCTACAACTCAAGTTCAGAAAGAACGCTCAGTCTCTCTCCCAGCCCACCATCCCTCAGCCAACAGTTTCTCAGTCTCTTTCCCAGCAGTGCTGGTCCCTCGGTGTCTCACTCAGCGATGCGTGTCTCTTGCGTCTCTTTCCCAGCAGCGTATGTCTCTTTCAGGGGTGCATGTCTCTCTTAGCAGCACGTCTTCCTCAACCAGCAGTCAGAGAGAGTTCTGCCTCCAGGAGACCTCCTTTTGAGCCCGGCAGGGTGGCCAAACTAGCCAATCATAGCATCAGAATTCTAAGCACCTGAGAGAGAGTGGGCACCTCCCAGAACACTGTTTTGTGCCACTCCCAACAGAAATATCCAGTTGGACAACTTCAGCAATCAGGAGCTCCTCAGTTACTCATAGAAAATCCCACCTTGGATTTTACAAAGATTTATGGGTAGAAAAGCCACACTAAATAATTTACTACACCACACTATGTTTTCTTGTGTCACAGCATGCTTGTCAAAGTGAACTTAAAGGTTGTTTATATTTTTACATACTTCGCATGCTTCTATGCTTCCATGTCTAAGTTCAGAAATTTTCTAAATAATTTTCTTATGACTTATGTATAGTTAGCATTCCAAGAAACCAAACTCACTGCCATCCAGTCAATTCTGACTCATAGCAATCCCCATTGGGTTTCAGAGGCAGTAAATCTTTATGGAAGTAGATTGTCCCATCTTCCTTCCGTGGAGAGGCTGATGGGTTTGAACCACCAGCCTTCTTCTTCTTCTTCTTTTTAATGCATTTTATTGAATAATAATTTATGTACAGTGAAACAAAACTAAAGTGGCATGGGTCAATACATTTTTTTGTTGTTGTTGCAACCAACAAAGAAAGTTTCCCTCCATATATAAACCTTTCCATGACCCTCCACAACAACAAACTAATACTATATTTCTCCTTCTGTGATTCATTTATTTCACTCAGCATAATGTCCTCCAAGTTCATCCATATTATGTGGTGTTTTGCGGACTCTATAATATTGCTGCATAGCATTCTATTATGTGTACGTACCATAGTTTAGTCATCCACTCTTCCACTGATAAGAACAATGTAGGTTGTTTCTGTCTTTTTGCTATTGTAAATAGTGCTGCGATGAACATGAATGTGCATGTATCTGTTCCTGTCCTGGCTCTCACTCTCCAGGATATACACCTAGTAGTGGGATTGCTGGCTCAAATGGTATCTCCTATTCCAACTTTCTAAGGACTCGCCATACTGCTTTCCACAGTGGTTGTATCATTTCACAGTCCCACCAACAGTGTATGAGAGTCCCAATCTCTCCACATCCCTGCCAGCATTTGTTATTTCTGTCTTGTTAACCTTGCCATCAGGACTGGGGTGAGATGGTATCTCGTTGTTTTGATTTGTATCTCTCTGATGTCTAGTGATTGTGAGCATCTCTTCATGCATTAGCTGGCTACCTGAATATCCTCCTTGGTGAAGTGTCTACTCATGTTTTCTGCCCATTTTTCAATTGGATTGCTAATTCCTTTGGTGTTGAGGTGTTGGAGTTTCCTATAAATCTTAGAGATAAGCTGCTTGCCAGATATGTAATTATTGGCAAATACGAATTTGTTGCTGTCATTTTTGTTATATGCTTTTTCGTGGTGTTGGTTTCTTTGTTCCATGTAATTTTCTATGCTGAGCTCATTTTGTCTATGAATTATGTTATCACTTACTTTGTTGCTGTTGTTTAAATATTTGTGCTGGTCCTCTTTTTTATTTTGATGTGAAGGTTTATCATTTTTCTTTGAGGTTACCCTGTGATTTATCATTCTCTTCCCAAGTTTAGAACAGTTCATTCTATCTTGTAGTCTTGACATCCCTACCATCTAGAAGTTCTGTAATGACACAGTTTTTTCCCCCTCTTTTTGGTCTGTAGTTGTCCTCATTTGTCAATTGATGTTTCTGGTTCCCAGTTTATAGTCTCGTAGGCTTATTTACTTTGGATACTTCCATAGCTGGATTGGTTTCTGGGTGTGTTAGACTGTGTCCTCTAGAGAAACAAAACCAGTAAAGCTTATATAGAGAGAGAAAGAGAAATTTATCTTAAGAAAATGTCTCACACAGTCAGAGAAGCTGGCAAGTCCCAAGTTCTTGGATCAAACATCAAGATGGAGGCTTTTCCCTACTCACGCTGCTGCAGGGGCTGAGGAGCTCAAGGTTAGCAGATAGTATACTGGCTGTTGACTCCAACGAATGATAAATCCAAGATCTCTAGGCCAGATGGTGGATTGTTCACTTACGGATAGTTGTAGGCAGAATCCCAATCCACAGAAGAATGTCTCTTTTCCCAGGATGTCCATAAATATACTTGTAGCAGGCCACACCCCTAGGAGAACTCCTTTCAGTGGACTGGCTGCTTAAAACATATACATCTAATCCCATCATTGGAACATCCCACATCACAATTGCTTAAACCACACAGAATTGTGGTCTAGCCAAGTTGGACACACAGCTCCAACTGTCACACTGGGTTATATCATCATGTGTGTTAATGGTCAGTTGTTGTTTGCTGCTTTTGCTTCACTGTCCAAAAGACTCCCTTTAGCATCTCTCATAAGGTTGTTCTGATTTTAACAAATTCTCTTAATTTCTGTTTATCTGAAAATGTCCTAATTTGACCATCATATTTGAGGGACAATTTTGCCATGTATATAATTCTTGGTTGAAAATTTTTCTGCACCCTCCAGACAGCAGAAAGTCAACAGCTCATGTTGTCTCCCTCCTTGTTGTTTCCCTTCCTAGTCATAGGCCACCAGCACAGTCGTCTTTTCGTCCCTGCAGCCCTTGGTGACTGGGGCTGATCTTTAGGTGACTTCTCAGATCCCAACACCGCTTGGAAGTATTCAGCTTGTTGGTCCTGTCAGTGTAGCTGACAGTCCACAGCTCCAACTGTCTCTGTACTCACTATTTTGTTCAGGTTTTTCCACTAGTTGGTACCCAATCTACTTCTGTACAGTTCCTTTCAAAGCTCGGGGTTCTAGGATCTTCTTTATCTCTGTCAATTGGTTTTTCTTTTCTTTGTTGAAGAGGGTCTATGTCAATTTTCTGCCTATTCCTCCATCTTACTGGAAGTCCTCTTCATTTTGTTTTGATCTTTTTTTTTTTTTTAGTTCCTTTTCCAAAAAAGTATTGAGGTATTTGCCTTCAGTCTCACTAATTCTGTCTTGCATTGATTCAATTCTGCTTCTTTGCCTGTTCACTGTCTTACCTATTTCTGAAAATTTAGTATTAATCTTCTGGGTTTCTATCTGTAGATTTTATATCATTTCTAATTTTTCATTTATTTCTTCACTTTGTTCTTATATTGTCTTTTGAACTTGTTCTAGGGTTTTCTCTGTGTTTTCCTCAGTTTTGTCAGTGTTTTCCTTCATCTGTCTCTCAATTCGTTGAAGGTAGCTAAATGTGTTGTTGTTGTTTTTATATGCCGTTGAGCCAGACCTGACTCATAGCGACCCCTCCTCGGTTTTCCAAGGTGGTATCACTACTGAAGTTGATTGCCCAACCTTCCTTCTCAGGAGTGGCTGGTGGGTTTGATCTGTCAGCTTTCTGGTTAGCAGTCAAGTGCCTTATGCACTCTGCTACCAGAACTCCTGTACCTAAATATAGGTCTTTTGAATTCTTTATCAGGGAGTTCCAGTGCTGCATCTTCCTCAGGGATGTGTTTTGGGTCTGTATTCTGGTCCCTTGTTTCTCCTGCTTTAATTTGCTTCTTTGTGTGGACTGTGATGCTCTATTATCTCCGAGGCATTGTGATGTTTTTGTGTTTATATTTAACTGGTGATTGTATGTTGGAGTGACTTGCACATGATTTTCATTTTCTTTGTTTTGTTTGAATGTTATCTACATAAGCAGGGTACTGTGCTGTGCCCTTCTATTCGATAGTTGGCAGTACTTCTACACTTACCTCCTGTCTCCTTCCCCATTGTTAGCCTCCTGTATGTCCCTGCCGTCCTTGGCAAATGGAGCCTATTCTTAGGTCCCTGGAATCCAAATGAAAATGCTGTTACTTTAAAATCCAAAATGGCCACCGCTTTGTAAACAATCAAAATGGCTGCATCCTCTAGACAGCGGAAAGTCCACAACTCAGGTTTTCTCCCTCTTTGCTGTTTCCCTTCCTACTTATAGGCTACCAGCATAGTCGTCCCTGCAGCCCTGGGTGACCAGGGTTCATCTTCAGTTCAATTTTTAGGTTCCAACACCACTTGAAAATATTCAGGCCATTGGTCCCATCAGAGTAGCTGACAGACCACTGCTCCGACTGTCTCCATGCTCACTGTTTTCATTTGGGTTTTTCCACTAGTTGGTGCCTAATCTGCTTCTGTGTACTTCCTTTCAAAGCTCAGGGTTCCAGGATTATCTTCTGTATCTCTGTCAATTGGTTTCTCTTTTCTTTGTTGAATAGGGTCTGTGTAGCTGTCTGCCTATTCTGCCATCTTACCTGAGGTCCTTTTTTGAATAAATTTTGACTTGATTTTTTAAATATTTGATAAGTGATAATTAAAGAGGGGTTCAGTTTGATATAAATGAACGCATGATGGCCTTGTAATGTTTTTTCATCTTTGTCCTTCCTCCTTTTTTCTGTGACAGTTGATTATATAATTATTAAGCCATTACCTGGTTACAGTTGTGACATGAAATCTTCATTTTCCAAGTATTGGAAACCAAGAATACCATTGGATGTTGGACATCGAGGTGCAGGGAACTCTACAACAACTGCCCAGTAGGTTGAATATTGGAGTAGCATTAGCATTTGGCACCTTACATGTTTGGTAAAGTTATATGAGTTTGTCCTACTAGTTGTCAGATGATCCTTTTCATTAGATTTATAAATTATACAGGTACAGGTATCCCCCACTTTTCAAAAGTTTGTTTTATGTCACTTCATATTTATGAAAGACCTACATTAGTACCTGTTTTGGCTAACCAAGAGAAATCTGAAGAGGATTTTTGCTTATACAAAAAAAACTGAAACATGAAATGAGCATTCAGCATTTGTTTTCCAGACAGCTGTTAAAGAGGCAGCATGCACCCCAGTCCGTAAGAGTGGCATCACCAAGTTCCTTTCCTGGGAATGATGTCCAAAATCAAGCTGCCATAGCTTTTGAGATTTATCTGTGAACACTATATGTTAGCATAATTTGAGGTCTTATGTATTTGGTATAATTTGATAGGTTATTTTTGAGGTCTTACAAGGTTCAGAATTTTTTTCCATGTAAATTAATGGTGATTACTTCTTCCCTTTATATCATTTCATCTTATAAAAGATTTCATAGGAACGTTCTACTTTTGGATAGTGAGGGAAACCTGTAGATACTCTAGAAATGAAATACAATTTGGTAGTTCTTTATATAAATTTGTAATTTCTATGAAGACCAACTTTGTCCTAAGATTCTCGTCAATCTTCTAAATATTCTACTGAATTAAGGAAGAGAAGGACAATAAAATCAGAAAACGTAAAGAATTCTGTCCTGATAGCATCTGTGGGTGAACTCAGGGAATGATTTTAATTCAGACTGGACCTCAACAGAGAGACAGAACGGTCTTTCTCTTATCAACAGAATTAGAGTTCATCTTGGTAGAGTAGTTATTTCTGTCCGGCTTTGTGAGTTATTTCATTACCAATGCTATAGCTTATTTGCACAGCTCTTCTGCTTTAAATTTTAATCCATTCCTCCCTCCCCACCTTTTTTTTTTTTTTTTTTTTAAATTGTGATTTGGGTGAAAGTTTACAGAGCAAATTCACTTTCCATACAGCAGTTCACATGTACTTTGTCTCATGACATTGACTGCAGTTTACCAAAATGCAACAGCTCCCCTTCCACTTCCTCCCCATAGTTATTTCTTCCCTGTGTCCATCCCTCCATGCACTCCTGCTCCCTGAGCTGTCTCCCTGTGCAAAAACAGCCCTTCTTTCTCTCATGATTGTTCTTTCCAAGGAGTGTATCTACTTCAGGTAAATGTCCAACTCATATGCCTGTCTTGTGTGTGGAACAAAACTCAAAATCATTTGGAAAAAAAGGGGGGGTGGACCAGATTTGCTGGTCTGATAGAACCTGTTGGACCCACTGAGACTATGGCCCCTAGCTGCCCTTCAGTTCTGGAATTGAACCCACACTGTGGCTTCCCCCTCTTATTTTTAAAGTTATATTATAGCATTGGGCTCTGTGGAGATCATTAAGCCTTTTCACATTGTATAAAACAAATCCCCATTTAAGGAAGAAACACTCTACAGCTCCATCTTATCAAACAGTAAGTCTTCTTCTTTTTTCTTTACTTCTTTTTTAAATCTCTATCCTTAATATACTTTCTATACATCTACTCTGTTGGTGCATCCAATTTCCTTCCACCAGAATCTACCTATATTAAGTCATCTGGAGACGTGATGCAAAAAGGGCATGGAGGCAGCATCTTCTGGACTTCTCTAATTTCATAAGAGGGAGACAGAATCACTGTCAGCCGCCCAAGGCTTATTCCTATGAGGCCAGACATGGCACCACCCTCCAGCCTTTTTACCAACTCTGACACCAACCACCCCTCCCACAGTAGTCACTATTTCTCTCCTGGGTTCCATAATTCATTGCAGTGGCCACATAGAACTCAGAGACAATACTCACAATTAGGGGATTTATTATGGAAGTAACAGATGGCAATTCATGTTCAGAAATGCTCTCAGGATACAGTTCTTCAATCAGGACACCTTCCTCTCAGCCATGTCCTCTGGCACACCTCCCTGGCCCTTGGCCTCTCAGCCTGGCCTCTGCCCTGCTCTTTCAGCTCTGCCAATAGGGATACCTATGTGCACCCCACTCCGTCAGCGAGCCTCCTGCCCAAAGGCACTCAGCTTTCTGGCTCTGTGGGGTGGTAAGTCCACCACTCTGTCTTGTGCCTTTTGGTTCCTCTGGCCTTCGTGTCAGCTGGTCGCCTCTGCCAGGGAGCTCCAGTGCAGGGATCTTGGGTCCAAGGACACCCTCCATTCCACCTCCAGCTCTTCTTTCTTGATGGCAGGGAGATCCCCTCTTCTGCCTTAGGGATGGTTCATTTTAAGCCCAGCAGAATGACAAAACCAACCAATCCCTACATTAGTATTCCATACACCTTATTTGCATGGTTCCATCCCATATGGGTGCCTTATACCTTACTTATATCATTAACAAGCTGTCCGATCTCCTTGGTGGGCCACAAGTACTTTATATTTGCATAGTTCCACCCAGTCACCTGGCGGGAATCACAAAGACCATTGCCAGAAAAGCCATACGAGGTAATTCTCTGCATCATACCTGATTTGCAAGGAACAGATTTCTGTGTCTCTACTCCTTCCTTGAAGGAGGTTATGTTCCTTTATTGGTCCATGTAGCACACTTCATTTGTCTCCAAGAAAAAAAAAAGTTATATATTGCTATTAAAGGAAGGCAAGTGCTCTCTGTTGTGGTACTGGGTGTATATATCCAGGCTGTAATATCTATAGCTGTTAGAGTTTGCATTGATGTGATAAATACCCATATCAACCAAGTGATGGTCACGGTTTTATTTTAGGGCTGGCAAAATTAACATCACAGTAGAGGACAAGTACTATTAAAATGTAATATTTTTAATATATTTTATAAAATATATTAAAATCTTCATTAGATTTATTTCTTCACATTTTCTGTAGTATATAAGTATTTTTTCCTCTACCTCAGGCTTGCTAAAGTTCAAGAAAACACTGTTGCTTCTTTGAGAAATGCTGCTAGTCATGTAAGTGAACCTCTTTTTGAAATAACTGTGGGCTGTTGAGGGTAGAGAAATGTGGGCCTAGGGAGTCCCTTACTATCTGGCTTAACAGGCTAAAAAGGGCAGTATTTATGATGCTGCTGGACATGTTTCTCAGAGAAGATAACATATTTCTGGGTTAGGATTGGGATGATAACAGCAGAATCCTAATCCTCCTGCTTTTGAGATAACAAATTTTGGATGATTAGGAAAGAACAAAGTTCTCCATTAAGCCCTGGTTTTCATTAATGGAATAATGTGCTTATTCAGATATTCACTTAGGAAATAATGCTTATAGAAAGATTTGATGATAATTTTATGTAGCACTTTAAGAAAGTGTATCAATTTTCACTCTGTATGTCAACTTAATTATGTTAAATTTCTTAACTTCTTTCTTATACCTGATCAGGAAGTAATTTGTGTTCAGGGTTTGATTTTTCAGCAACTGCAACTTGGCATTATAAATCCAGAAACTGTGCTTTCCCCTGTTCCTCTGTGCCTGAGTGGAAAACCTGGAAAAAGAAAGTAATAAAATTAGGGAGAAAATCAAGGAACAGCTTATTCTTTTATTTTCTGTTTCTGCTGCATCCTCCTCAGACCTTCAGGTTTGCCTTTCATATAATGGTTCATCAAAAATGGTTGATTAGTCAGGTGATTAATGTCATCCATCCATCCAAAGGATGCACTTATTTATTTTTTTTTTATGGTTTAGCATCTCCGAAATTGATTTGGTTTTATAACTTCCTTTAGCATTACAGTACAGTTTAATTGGCAACATTTCCCCCCTCTTAGTGTTATATAAAATAAAGATGCATTTTCTAATTCATGACACCTTAGATTGATTATAACCCCCTGCCATCTATTCTATTCCAATTCATAGTGACCCCCATTGGGTTTCCAAAATCTTTACGGAAGTATATTGCCTCTTCTTTTTCCCATGGAACAGCTGGTGGCTTTGAACCACCGACCTTCTGGTTAGCAGCCAAGTGCCTTAACCACTATGCCACCAGAGGTCCTCTAGATTCATTATAGTAATTGTTTATCTTAATGCTTTAAAATGCTTATATGAATAGTAAGTAGTTTCATCTTTTTTGTATTGAAAGAATGCTGTTAATTTTTCAGTATGCTGGACTGTTGTTCATAATTTACAACCAGTTTTATTTCATTTGCAGCTAACCTGAAAATCATTTTATTAGTTTTAAACATCTAATGGCCCTGTTAGTGAATTTTCAGGGTCTCCTGCTTTTTTGAGAGAGGATTTTAGTAAGTCTTCTTTTCCCACATCCAAATGAAAGTCATCATAACTCATGGATCCCATTTTAGAATGTCTTATTTTAATTATTGGCTTACTGGCTTTTTAGTGTTAAAAACATACCTGAAGAGCTTTTATTCTATTATTGGCTTATTTCTGAAGATTCACACATGAATTTTGGAATTAAGATTTATCTCTTAATAAAACTATCTTCCACAAGGATATTATTTAAGCCATATATTTTAACAGTTGTTTTGTTGTTATGTGCCATTGAGTCGGACCTGACTCATAGCGACCCCTCCTTGGGTTTCCGAGGTGGTATCACTATGGAAGTAGATTGCCCAACCTTCCTTCCGAGGAGTGGCTGGTGGGTTTGAACCACTAGCCTTCTGGTTAGCAGTGAAGTGCCTTAGGCACTATGCTACCAGAGCTCCTAATATTTTAACTGTTGTTGTTGTTGTTGTTGTTATGTGCCGTCGAGTCGGCCCCAACTCATAGCGACCCCTCCTTGGGTTTCCGAGGCAGTATCACTACGGAAGTAGGATTGCCCAACCTTCCTTCTGAGGAGTGGCTGGAGGGTTTGAACCGCCAGCCTTCTGGTTAGCAGTCAAGTGCTTTATCCACTATGCTACCAGAGCTCCTAATATTTTAACTAGAAAGCTACAATTCAAAATGTTTAATAGGGATGATAGGGTTTGTTCTTTTTCTTTCTTTTGTTTTAGTAAAAATGGTTTGTGATATTTTAAAAAATAATATAAAGGAACTAAGTTTCTTGTTTCAGAAGTCATCATGGAAATAGGCTTTATAAGTAGAACCTTGAGCTCCTTTGGTTTCACCTATGTTACCCGTGTTACTCACAAGGTGAGAAGCCTTCTGTGACCAGGGTCATACAAGCCAGAGTAATGGGTGAAACCATATGTATTCCTGAATGGCACTTTTGTTGGCCTCAGCCCATAGCATTGCAGAATTCTCAGACATTGTTTAGTTGATTCCATCTGGTTTTCTTCCAGGGAACACACAAATTTGTATGTCAGTTTCTGTTCTCATCCTTTATTTGGATTCCTTCTCTTTCTGGTTCAGACTCTTAAAATAATTCTTGTGCTTTTCTGTTTAGGCGTAGATCTGAGAATTTGGTATTTATGTTGCCTGTTTTCTGTCTCTGGAGCAGCAGTTGCCGTTTCCTCTTTAATCTGATACTAAGGTTTTGCTAAGAAAGGCTATGAAGTGTGCTGTTTCAGGGCACTGAGTAGCATAAAAGAGGTTCTGCAGCTTGTTCTTTTCTCCATCTCATCTTTGAGAGTAGCTGACCAGCTCAAGGGTTCCAGGGTGACCAGGTGAGGTAGCCCAGTGCTCCAGGCTCCAGTTCTGCTAATGACAGTACCAACTGTGCCTGTCAAGTCAGCATGATTGCCAATGAAGGGCCCTAGGTGCCTATTTTTTGGCCAGAAAAATGTAATCGATCTACTAATGGAACAAAAGGGTTAAACAGTTAAAATTGTTTTAAGGGAAGAAATTACTTTTTAGGAAAAGCTTGAAGTATGGCATTAAATATTTCGTGAGAAAGATTTATGTTTTTGTTTATATGTTTATAACTTTACAGTGAATAATAAATTTCTTGTCTCCTTGTAGTTTCAAATGTGTTGTGGGCCAGATAAAGTTTTTTTTCACATATTTACTTCTTTATTTCCTTCAGGGTGCAGCCTTTGTAGAATTTGATGTACATCTTTCCAAGGATTTTGTGCCTGTGGTCTATCATGATCTCACCTGTTGTTTGACTATGAAAAAGGTACATTGAAATTCTTTCATTTGTCACCCTTATTGATAGCAAAAAAGTAAACTCACTGCCATTGAGTCTATTCCAACTCATAGTGACCCCTTTTGGGTTTCCAAGGAGGTAAATCTTTATGGAAGTAGATTGCCCAGTCTTCTGTCCATGGAGTGGCTGATAGGTTTGAACTGCCAACCTTCTGGTCAGCAGTCAAATGCCTTAGGCACGACACCATCAGATCTCCTCTTATTGATAGGTAAGAAGATTAAAAACTAGGGATTTTGTTGTATTTTTAACTATTTGTTAAATAGAGTTGGTCAGTTCTCTAAGTTCTCACTTGGTAAATTAACGGCCAATTGTTTCCTCTCTCAAGCTCTTACAACATGAAATAAGTGAGGAAATGAGAATGTGAATTTCCTAGAGTAAGGTTTCTGTTTTCCTGAATTTGGTTCTTTATATTATTTAACAAAGTGATATTACAAATGATTGCCCACTGTCACTACATTAAGGCAGGAGGGAAAGATACTATAGTAATAGTTTGTTTTTTGGTTGCCCATCTACTTCTGTTTCAACCCTTTCCTCAAATTAATAGGCAAGTACTATTTATCTAAAGCAGGAAGAGCCACCGTAAAATATAAAGCTGGAAAGGTGGCTTGGATCCACATAGTGGAAAGCCTCAGAAAGGTAAGAGGTTTAGACTTACAAGCTAAGGATAGATGGAAAACAGAGAAGGATAATGTTCAGAACTAAATTTCAGCACAGATATTTTGGTAGTTGATATAATATGAATTTGAGTAGGGTAGAGACTGAAGGTAAAAGGATCAGTAGTGTAAACCAAAAGTGTAAAGTAAGTCTGAACTGGAGTAAAAATGGTGACAGTGGAGAAGAGGGCATGGAGGTTTGAAATATGTCTGCTTCTTTAAAATTGTAATTATTAGTGTACAAACATAATTGTGATAATGAAATAGTCCCTACATTTCTGTATACAAATTGATCAAGTGATTTCTCAGGGACTTATGATGCTGTGAGGGTTCATTTGGCATTTTCTTTACAACTGTGTTGGGTATTACTTTCTACTGAGTTGATTTAAATAAGGGCACTCTGCTAACATGTCTTACACCATACTAGACCCTGCATGTTGTAGGAGTATAAAAGAATATGACAAGCCACATGGCTCTGCCTGCTAGTGGATCTAATCAAAATCATGTGAGGTTGGATTACTATGATGTATAGGAAAGGATGCTTCCATTTCTGTGAGACGGTATGAGGAGAGAGAAGAGAGGAAGCACGTCTATTCAAATGACAAAAGTAGAATAATGAAATAGAAATGAAACAGGTGGTTTTTGCTGTGGGGGAATACTGATGTGAGGTGAAATGAGAAGGAATGGAGTGCTAAAGGATCTGATTAACCAAGATTGAGATTAATGAATCTATCTGTAACTTATTTCTAAAGATCTATGAGAGATTAATTGAAGAGGATTACTTACTCATCCCCAGTTTTTACCAGACTCTGACTTGCTCTGAACTTGAACCTGGATGAGTTAATTGGGTAATGAAGAAATGACTTGTATATGTTTTTAGTTTGAGTTTTATTTAACTAGTATTTTTCTTATAAAAGCAGTTCATGTTTATTATAAAAAATGCAAATAGTTCAGAAGGTTATGAAATGAAAAATAAGTCTTTCTTTCCCTTCTCCCTTTTGTCCCACTCCCTTACTCTTAATAGTTTCTCCTGTTTCTGTCCAGAAACACTTCATGCACGTGCAGGCTTACAGCTATGCGCACATGAATATCTTAGTGTATTGGTTGTATTGTTGATTGGTTGGTGGTGCATTAACTCATTTCCTTAAGATAGAAGTATAGCGTGGCAATTGATATGGCATTAAAACCTATAGAACAGTTTTGCTTATTGGGAAAAAATTTGTTATAATAGATCAGAATTCTTATTAAATATTAGTGATTGTAGCTATTTTCCATTTTAATTTATCAGCCAAATTTTTAATGGCAATTACTTTTCCTAGATATTTTTAACCAAATTTAAGTTTTAAAAAGGCTTTGGAAAACTTAAAAACTTAATGACAGAAATGAGTCCTTACATAGTGCTTACCTGCTTATTTCCTAGTTTGTTTGTTTTTTACATGAATGTGTATCAAATAAAATACATACAGTGTAACAGATAATAGGGGAAATGACTGACTTCTGGCTCTGTTGTGTCTTTAGTGCCACTGCTTCCTCCCAGCTGTTTTTTCTGCCAGGCCTTCTCTACCTACATAAAAACAAAAGCCAGAATATAAGGGCTGGGTGATGGTATTAGGTAAGAAGGGCTTTCTGCACGGGCTTGCTATGGCCACATAACAATTATTCTCATCATTCAGTAAATTGAGATGTTAGGCCTGCCATGTAAATGTTTCAGGAATAATTTTGGGATATGTTTTTATTTTTATTTTTAGAAATTTGATGCTGATCCAGCTGAATTATTTGAAATTCCAGTAAAGGAGTTAACATTTGACCAACTTCAATTGTTAAAGGTAGTAATAATAGCAGTAGAAATGTAAACTATCCTTTACTTTAGACTACTTCTACTGGCCTTTATAGGGTACATGGGAATGGCTGTATATTCAACACCTATAGAGTGTATGCTTTGTTCCTTTAGGGAGAATGAGTTTGTGCTGATCCATCTGCTTCCTCCTGTACAGTTTTCCGAGACCCTATTGATTTTTCCATACCTGAAGGGGTTAGGCCTTAAGTCTTTGCAGGTCATGGGAGCTAGCCCTTCTCATCATCTTAAAGTTGGTCTCTATTCTGCTTTACCCCTTCCCTATACAACTCACTATTTTACAATAATATTGGCCTTTTATGTGATAGTTAGTTTTTATTAATTTCTAAAATCTTTGTATATTTTGTTATACCATGTAATTTTGCATAGTCCCTCTTCTCATCCCCATTAGATACCTAAATAAATGGTAGATTATTAAGTATAAATAGATGCCTAACTTGTGAATTTTTAGATTCTATATCCCTACTCAGGTATTTGGTTATGATCTATGTGTATGTATATATATATATATACACAAAAGATACAGTGGCTAGTGCTTTTTTTTTTTTTTAAGTTTGTAGTTTTTGGGAATATACATATATGTATGTATATGTAGAATATATACCACCAATTTAACAGTTTCTACATGTACAGTTCAGCATCACTGGTTATATTCTTTGAGTTGTGCAATCATTTTCCCCTTCCTCTTGAGTTTTCATTCCCCCATTTAAAAAAACTTTCTGCCCCCTAAGCTTTCTATCTGATTTATTGAGTTGCTGTCACCAGTTTGATCCAACAGTTTTTAAAAGAGCACAGCACTCAAGATAGATATTCTTTGTTAGTTCAGCTAAACTATTGTTTGGTTTTAAGAAGACGTCAGGGGATGTTTTTGGTTTAAGGTTTAAAGATTATCTCAGGGCAATAGTTTCAGGATTTATCTAGCCTCCATGGCAGATGAACTGCTAAACTGATACATCTATGTTTTGTCATCTTCTCTAACTCACTAGCTTTTCAGGTTATAGTTCTATTAACCATATACTAAGACTTTCCTTTTTCTAATTGCATTTTGTGTCTGTATGTGTGTGTTTTCTAGCTCGCTCATGTGACTGCACTAAAATCTAAAGATCGGAAAGGTATGTACCAGTATGGAAGTACTTTCATCTTATAGTTAAAATTGATACGGTATTTCCTTCTCCATCTTAGGAAATTTAGTATTGGAATATCTGTACATGATTTTATAGAAATAAAAACCTTGTGTATATTTATTTCCGCATGAATATGTTTCATCACTGAACTAGTAAAATTTTTGGTCTTTAATTCTGTAGTTAAGCAAAAATAGACACACAGAAGGTGGGTAACCACACTCTTGATACATACATGAAGTAGAATATTGTCATTTGTGTAGTAGCCATTCATGATTGTTTACTTTTATAACATTTTTTTACCTGTATGATCAGAAGTCTTTATTATTTTGTACCAATCAATCTTTTCAAACATTGTTGACCATTATAACATAAAAGTAGATCAGGTAAAGCATCTGATTCCAGAGCCAGACTGCCTGGAGTTTGAATCCAGCTCTGCTATTTACGTGCGATAATTTTTGGCAGGTTACTTTACTTAACCAGTCTGTGCCTCAGTTTCCTCAGAGCTTGCCCTGCCTATTAACATCCATTTGTGATTTCACTTTATACTTGTATAGAACTTTATACTTGTATAGAACTTAATAGTACTATTTATTTGAGGCTTATTGTGTCCTTCTTTGGGGGGATGGAGGTATATGTTCTCTCTTTCCAACTAGAGTGTAAGCCTCTCAAGGGTAGGAAAATTGTTCTTTTATGTTCCCAGAGACTGTTACAGTGCTCTGCATGTAGTCGGTACTCAATAGATACTTGTCTGCACTTGTGATAATGGTAGAGTTTTGAATGCCTTTATGAAGAAATGTTGTTGTTGTTGTTGTTATGTGCCGTCGAGTCGGCCCTGACATAACAACGAGCAACCCCTCCTTGGGTTTCCGAGGCAGTATCACTACGGAAGTAGGATTGCCCAACCTTCCTTCCGAGGAGTGGCTGGTGGGTTTGAACCACCAGCCTTCTGGTTAGCAGTCAAGTGCTTTAGCCACTATGCTACCAGAAATATGAAGTCTAAACACATGGAAGATTTATTCTCCAGAGCATAACCATGGCATAGTTTAACAAGTGACTTTTGTAGATATTTCATGACTGAAACTAACCATCTTCAAGGCTTAAATAAATTTTACCTTAGTTTATTCAAGTGGAGAAATTTGTCTTGTGGAGAAAAACTCTTATGTGTCTCTTAAAATACAGTCTATCTTGGATTTAATGGTAATGGTAACACAAGCACAGTAGTACCTAAATAAAACCAAACTCAACCCACTGCCGTGCAGTCAAATTTCAACTTGTAGCAATCCTATAGGACAGACTAGAGTTGCCCCATAGGGTTTCCAAGGCTATAAATCTTTATGGAAGCAGATTGCCTCATCTGTCTCCCATGGAGTGGCTGGTGGGTTCAAATTGCTGACTTTTTGATTAGCAACAGGATGCCACCAGAGCTCTTGTAGTAGCTATATAAAACAAAATTCATTGCCATAAAGTTGATTCCAACTGATAGCAAACCTCTTTGGGTTTCCAAGGCAGTAAATCTTTATGAAAGTAGATTGCCCCATCTTTCTCCCGTGGAGTGGCTGGTGGGTTTGAACTGCCAACCAGGTTGGCAGTCAAATACTTCAGGCACTGCACCACCAGAGCTCCTTATAATAGCTGTATAGAGTCTATTAATTTCTGAACTGATTTTGATATTTCAAGTAGAAATCTTAGCAGTATGACTTAACTCTGAATTCCACTGAAAAATAACTATCATTGTATGTGACTTCTTTTAAAAGAGTAATATTAAAATTATTATGAGAAAATTATTGCTGTTGGAGGCCATAGATTATGTTGTTTATAGCAGATGTTGCAAGCTAGTTTCATAAAAGGTGCTTGTATAGAAAATGAAATTTGAATGGTTAAAATAATAAATATAAGAGCCTTCAAAAATACACCGTACCTGTAAGGATTTCATAATAACTTTAGTTTTTATTTTATTTTGCCCTAAGAATTTAGGAGCGATGTTAGTGATGTAGTCCCATCATTTATTTACTGAGTTTTTATAATTTAAAATTTCAGAATCTGTGGTTGAGGAAGAAAATTCCTTCTCTGAAAATCAGCCATTTCCTTCTCTTAGGATGGTAAGTTTCATGCAAAAAATTAAGGCAAGCCTATCCCGTTAATTCTGCTATGTCCAAATAATTTATTTTTGGTCTCTTACCAAAGCCATTGCTGTTGAGTCAGTTCTAACTCACAGTGACCTTATATGACGTTAATATAAATTTATCATCATTGGTGCTTTTTAGAGAGGATATATTCTTGTATGCCACTTTTTAAGACAGGTAACTTAAATCAGCTCAAATGAATAAAGGTTACCATCTTAACAGGTTAACTTAGCAAGAATAGCCAATTCATACATGTGTGTACAGACAGAAAGAAAAAGGTGCAGCAAAGGGGATAGAATGGAGAGAGATCAGGCATTTTAACTTTGTACAAAACTGTTCCTTAGCTTTTAGAGAGAAACAAGACATTCAAAAAGGCAACCAAAGAAAATAAGTAGTCTGGTTACTCAGAATGGAGACAAAAATTTCAAGAATGCACCTGGAAAATGTATTAAGTGAAAATCTGAAGATTTAAAAACTAGACACAGTTCATACAGGGATCTCTTTGACAGCACCAGGCAAACTCACATGTACACCAGACACTCTCCTGGACAACGCTGGGTCTACTTTTTTATTTTCTAGGCTGTAATCTTTACAGGAGCACATCACCAGGTCTTTTCTTCCACGGAATCTCTGGGTGGGTTTGAACCTTCAACCTACCATTATATTACTCTATCGTTATTGTTGTTGTTATGTGCCATTGAGTTGCACCTGACTCTTAGTGTCCCCTCCTTGGGTTTCCGAGGTGGTATCAGTAAAGAAGTAGATTGCCCACCTTCCTTCTAAGGAGTGGCTGGTGGGTTTGAGTACAGCTTGCCTTCTGGTTAGCAGTCAAGTGCCTTAGGCACTACGCTGTCAGAGCTCCCATATTAGTATGTTCTTAATGGATCTATTTTTATAATTTGCACATAACAACAACAACAACATTTTTATAATTTAGCATAAATTTAAATACCATATGTATTTTTTAACATAAACTATAAATGACATAACATACCATTATTTGTTTTAGAAAAACATAAAATCATAAAAAAAGATTTTTTAAGTTTTAAAATAAATTGAAGTAAAAACATAATCTGTATTAAATTCATTTTGACCTGAACATGTTTATGTATTTGCCTGGCCTTCATGTTTGTTTTAAGATTGAACAAGTCAGCTCTTTGTAATAAGTAACCAAGCTTCATATTTTCAATCTGATTTTTCTGGTTATGACTGCCAAAATAGTCATGATTGCAAAATGTCTAGATAATTTACATAAATTGATCACATACTATTCGTTAAATAGATAATAGTCTTGCTTATTTGTGAGCCACAGCATAATCTTTCATTTGGGGGTTATCAGCATGGTATTTGTTAAACGTTATATAACTGTATCTTAGTAGACTGAAGGACCTGAATACGGTTCAGAAAATATGAGAAATGTCTCCTTGAGTTCCCAAGGTACCCTGTTCTATCACAGCTCACTTTGGATGTTCAGTCTTAACATGAAAAGGATTATAGGTTAGTGGATCCGTCTTTGTGATGGTGGTAATCATCACAGATGTTGTCTGCTTTTACTATTTAAATCCTTTGATTTTCTTATTTAACATCATAATCATCAGCCAAGAATAGTGGTTTGAAGCACAAAACATTTTATCTTCACCAGTGATAAATTTTCTTCTTGATTATCTTTTGTACTAATTCTATTTTCCTTTTTTTTCCTTAATCCCCAACTCACCAAAAACAAAATAAAATTCACCACCAATACACAATATCTAGGTTTTAGAGGCTTTGCCAGAAGATGTAGGGTTTAACATAGAAATAAAATGGATCTGCCAACAAAGGGTAAGTAAGTCTCTAGGTAATACATTCTCTCCCTCCTCTGTTGTTTTCTGTTTTTTCCTTTTTAAAATTCTTCTGTTCTTTCTGTGGTAATAAGTGAAACTAAAGTTGCATTGTGGCTTCCTCCAGCAGCCACAGTATTTTAGCTGGACCCTTTTAATAAAGCATATCTTACCCTTATACTGATAAGTAAATGCTTTCTTAAAATTAATGGTTAATATACTGTTGTAGAAATTTCACTTTACAAGTGTCTCATATGCTCATTAATGTGAATGGTTCCTGGGCATACTTAGACAGTATGATTTATACCTAATCAAACCATATCTTTTTAAGGAATTGCTGAAGCACTTCTGGGTGGCAGCAGCTAATAATAGTAATTCAGGAAAATAAATTTTTGCTGATTTACTCATTTGCTCAAAAAATATTTATTGAAAAGCTGCTATGAATAGGCACTTTTCTGGGTGCTTGAGATAAGTAATGAACAAAACAGATTAAGGCCCTGTCTTCCTGAAACTTATGTTCTAGTGTATGTGCATGTGTGCTGTGCATGTGTATAGGTGGAGGAAAACAGCAATTAAGTAACCTTGGAATGTGTCACATGGTGATAAATATAAATGAATAGGTAGATGTGTAGTTGGAAGTAGTATTTCAGGTATGATTGGGCAGTTGCAGCAATGTACTGGAATTTATTTTAGTCAGCTTACTAGTTTGTGACAAGCTGATCCTGGTTAATGTAGTAAGTGCCCAATGAAGGTTTTCCTAATAGGTGATTTTTTTAAATTTCTAAGCTTCTAGAGTTATTTTAATGACTAATCTTTAAAATTTTTAATATTTAGATATCAGTAGGGTTTTTGGTATCTTAGCTATATTTTACTCATTTCTGTCTAGTTGTATCCGACTCATAGTGACCCCTCTTTGGGTTTTCGAGTTGGTATCACTACAAAAGTAGATTGCCCAGTGCTCCTTCCAAGGAGTGGCTGGTGGGCTTGAACCTCCAGCCTTCTGGTTAGCAGTCAAATGCCTTAAGCACTATGCCACCAGGCTCCCTAGCTATATTTATGGAACCATTTTAATTATTTGTTGAAGATATTTTATATGCCTAAGATCCAAAGAATAAGATTTTTAACTAGTCGTCTTCCCACTTGAGTGGGTTTGAACTACCAGCTATTCATTTAGTAGTGAATGCTTAATCATTGTACCACCTGGGCTCCTCTTAATTAATAGGGTTTTGTTATGATGAGTCAGTAGAATGAAAGAGAGTCCTTTTGCCCTGCAGTTTATGAAATTTATAGTGGACTATAAATTTCCAGAGTTTCAGCTTTTATTTTATTAAAGTCAAGTCTATCATGGTATAGTTAATTGCTTTGTATATGAATCTCTACACCTGGATTATGATTGCTGTGCTATCACTAACAAGCTGTGTGGTGTTGGGCAAATCACTTAATCTCTTCAGGTCTTTGATTTCCTCATATGTAAAATAAAAAGGTTGGACTATATGTACTCAAGACTTTTTTCTATCACTTGGATTTTAGAGTATGTAATGGTTTTACTTTTCTGTTTCTTCTACATAGGATGGAATATGGGACGGCAACTTATCAACATATTTTGACATGAACCTATTTTTGGATATAATTTTAAAAACTGTTTTAGAAAATTCTGGGAAAAGGAGAATAGTGTTTTCTTCATTTGATGCAGATATTTGCACAATGTGAGTAATACAGTTTTTTTCTCCTATAGTGTTAGAATGTAGCCAAGACTTTATTGCTCTTATCATTCAGGTTATATATTTTTTCATATCCTTTTATCACTACTTGCTAGAAAGCTCTGCACTACTGTGAACTCCATACCCACTAGGTCCTGGAACATCATCCCCTGTGTTTCATTTTATAGGCATGTATGATCTCCTTTCCAGATTGTTAACCTTTGAGAGCTTTCTTATTGTCCATTTCTGAGATTGTATTAGCTTTAGTATCAATTAATTTTAAAGGCTTGTTTTGGTTTTGACTGAAAGGCATGTTAATAGTGGTTATAGCTGAGTAATGGCATTGGGCTTTTTTGTTTGTTTTGTTTATATTTTGCATTGTTGTCTAAAATTTCAAAGCAGAATATATTACATTTATTCCCCCAATGAAAGCTAGTTTTAAAATTGACTTTTTTAGGGTTCGACAGAAACAGAACAAATATCCCATATTATTTTTGACTCAAGGAAAATCTGATATTTACCCTGAACTCATGGACCTCAGATCTCGGACAACTCCCATTGCAATGAGCTTTGCACAGTTTGAAAATCTGCTGGTAAATTATGTTTGGATTTTTATTTTTTATATCAGAAAGAAGGTTTCATATTACTTTACACATCTGATTCCTAACGAGTATAACAAGCAGTGTCTCTACTAAAAAATATAAAGATATTAGGTCTCAATATGAAAAGCAGTTAAATGAACAAAATAAAAGTTTTGTTTTAGGCCTCAGTTTAAGTTTTATAATTTTGTTTTGTGACTGGGTCTTATGAATTATCTGAAATAGTTAGACTGTAAACTTGTTTGACAGAGCATTCCATCAGTAAAAGTGTTTTGAACACATTATTCTAATACCTATATGTTTATAAATTGCTTACTCATATTATATGTACTTATATTTTTAATATATTACTAATAAGAATATATGTATGAAATATACACTAAAAAGGAATTTTTAAGTGATGAGATAAATAATAAAATATTCTAACTTTGTTTTCCCTGCCCACTCTAATTTGGAGAGTACTCATCTAGAGTATGACCATTTAGCATTTGCCATTAATAAGTCACTTAATCTCTCCCTTAATAAGTCACTGTTTCATGAATGAGTAATTTTTCTTGTTTTAGGGGATAAATGCACATACTGAAGACCTCCTCAGAAACCCATCCTATATTCAAGAGGCAAAAGCTAAAGGACTAGTCATATTCTGCTGGGGTGATGACACGAATGATCCTGAAAACAGAAGGAAATTGAAGGAATTTGGAATTAATGGTCTGATTTATGATAGGTATTTGTTTTTCATGAAAAATTTCCATGGGATGGTAGGAAAAAAGTAGTTTCCATCTTATAAAATTATAAATAAAATTAAACTTAGTTAAATTAAAATTCTGTAGTTCAGCCCGAGAATTATGTTGACAGTGGTTTCTTTTAAAAACTTTGGAAAATACCAGAAACATTCGGGAAGTTTAGTAAAAATTCAGATGACTAGCCCTTAACCCAGATGTATTAAGTCCTCTTCGGCAATGTCCCCAGATTTCTTCCCTGTATATACTGACTTTCTTGGTGATCTCACCCAAATCTGGGGCAGAAATCCCAAATAACATCTATCTCCAGCTAAGACCTTTCCTTAGACCTCCAGACTTTTAACATCCCGCTACTAACATCTGTTCCTCCTAGTGTTCAGTATAAATGACAATTCCATCTTTCCATTTTTCAGGCCAGAGTCACATCATGCTTAAAACTCTCCCATGTTTTCTTTCACTTCTGAGTCCTTTCAAGGCCCTATAAAGGCTGATTCCTGTTTACCACCCCTACCCCCTTGTGTACATACTGCCTCCCAACCCCTTTTTCTCTCTGACCTCTTTTCCAGTGGCATCCCCCCGTACCCCATGATGACTTCCTTGCTATTTCTCTTTTCTTTAGAGAAAGACTTCAGTAAACACTGATAAATTCTTAGGCTTTCCAGAATACTCCATTTCAAATAATAACCTCTACTCACAGTACACTTGCCTGTTTTTTCTCCATGGCGTTTATCATCTGGAAGACTGCATATGCATATTGTATTTTTGCTTTTCTCCTGGCCCCTTTACCCAAGCATACACACACGCGTGCACATGTACACACACATGCACACGCACACGTAGACAACAACGAAAGCTCCACGGGAGGAAGGATTTTTGCCTGTTTTGTTCTTTGCTGCATATCCGGGGTATAGAACAATGTGTATGAAAGGAGGGCCAAGACTTGTTGAATACGTTTATTTATTTATTTAAGAAAAGCCTCATATGATTTATAATGTAAATTTGAAAGCCCCTAATCTAAGAGACCAAAGCGTTGCTTAGAATAAAGGAAATTTGAAGTTACAAGAGATATTGTTTACTTTGCTGCAGGATGAAAGGGTTTGTTAATGCTTGAGCACCATCATTAAAGTGTAAGTGTAATGACTAGAATAAAATCCTTACCAGGCTTGCTGTAAAAGTTACTTTCCTTGGATTTGGTTCATAACGCTATTCATTCTGTAGAGTCATGACCTTTTTTTTTTTTTTTTTAATAAAACTTCTTCTCTATTTTGTCTGAATTAGTCTGGTTTTCAAATTACAGTCTGGATAATGCCTGCCTGCCTGCCAGCTTTTCTTCCTTTCTTTTTAAGTATATAGTTACATTTGCATTAAACAGCATGATTCAGAACTCTTTTTGATTAACATTGCCAACTAATTAAATAAGAATAAAAACTAAGAATTTGAAGGAAGTCCTGGCTTTAGCAAAGTTTTGAGAAATAGATTTTCCTCAAGTAGGAAAGAAAGATGCAAATGTTTTCAGACAAGAAGATTTTACAGAGAATGTTTCATGTGCAGCTTTGTGGGATGTATAGATTCCAGTCAGATCCTTTATCTCAATGATTTACTTGGTTGAAGCCAGATGTTGATGTGTAATGGAGAGCAGGAAGATATTGTGATACAACAGGTGATAAAGAAAGTGAGTTCCTCCCACCTTGGGGTCAATGAGATTTTTAAAGAGGAAGCATTAACCTGGATCTTTAGATGTGGTTAAATTTGCTTTGGAGGATATGCTTTTTAGGTTAAGGTATGCACATGAGTCAGGGTGGGACTGTGTAGTGAAGGTATGGAGGACAATGAGGAGATGGCCCAGCAGTGGGCTCCTTTCAGGGTGTGATGGGAGGGGTAAGATGGACTGTGTTAGGTAGGTGATTTTAACCCTTAAAGTTTTTGGTTTTGCTTTTTTTTTTCTTAATTGTAATAAAAAATTAAAGAAGTACATGTGTATAGTTTAAAAATTCAAATAATTCTACAAGGCTTGTAATGAAATATAAGAACCAGACCAAACTCACTGCGGTGGAGTCGGATCCAACTCGTAGCAACCCCTCTTTGGGTTTCCGAGGCTGTATCACTACGGAAGTAGATTGCTATATCTTCCTTCCAAGGAGTGGCTGGTGGGTTTGAACTGCCAGCCTTATGGTTAGCAGTCAAAAGCCTTAAGGCACTACCCCACCAGAGCGCCTATAATGTCCCCTTTACCTATCCCTTCTACTGTCTGTGGACAAGTCCTTGTCCCCTAATTTTTTTAAAAGCTGTTTTTTCTGGTATTTACCATTTTATTTTGAAACAGGATTCTTGCGCTGCTATTTTTGATAATCTAATTTTGACATTATGTAGCAGGTTTTGAATGATTATCTATTGAGTCATTTTGGATTGAAGAGAAGTATGGTGAGAGTAGATGTTTTAGCTTTTCAAAAACTGTTTTGTTCTTTTCATCTATGAATGCATCAAAACAATAGATTTTATATTTACTCATGATTTTGCAATAAATCTCTCTTATAAACTGCTGAATTGATGTACTAATACTTTGTTTGGGATTTTTACATTTATGATAATGAGTTCGATAAGTCTTTAACTACTCTTTCTCAAATGGTTCTTGTCTAATTTTGGTATGAGGATCATACTGACCTCAGAGAATAGATTGAATAATGTTTCCTTTTTTAAAAAATAAAATCTTACTTATATGTTTAAATGATTAAAACAAATAACAGTAATAATACAGCAGACACCCTTGTTTAAAGCAAAGAACATTATCATTAGATTTGACGTTTTCATTGTGCCATTTGCTAATCCCATTGTTTATCTTCTTCCTCAAATATATCAAACCGAAAAACTCACTACCATGGAGTCAGTTCTGACTCATAGAGACCCCCACTGGGTTTCCAAGGCTATAAATCTTTATAGAAGCAGACTGCTCATCCTTCTTAAGCAGAGCGGCTGGTTGGTTTGAACCACCAACCTTTTTGGTTAGCAGCCAAATGCTTTAATCACTACACCACCAAACCAAAAAAAAAACACAAACTCACTGTCATCAAGTTGACTCTTGACTCATAGTGACCCCCATTGGGTTTCCAAGGTGGTAAATCTTTATGGAAATAGATTGCGCCATCTTCCTTCCATGGAGTGGCTGGTGGGTTTGAATTACATACATTGCCAGCCTTCTGGTTAGCAGTCAATTACCTTAGGCACTGTGCCACCAGACCTCCTTTATTATTCTCTTTTATGCTTTAAAATTGTGTCTATTTTTATCCCTAATCAATATACCATTTAGTTTTGTTTTTTAAATATTTGTGCCTTTTTTCCCTCTCCACTCATCATTTTTTCCTGAGATGAAGCCATATTGCATATAACTCTAACTAATTTTCATGGTTATATAATATTTCTTGTATGCCTCTTATAATTTATCCTATTTTAAGGGCATTTTAATTGTTGCCAGGTTTTTGCTATTACTGTAGTGCTGCTGTGAACATTATTGACTAAAAATACTGTCCTTTCATGTCCTGGAAGACATGTCAAGTTTCTCCAGGGCAATTACTTTCGTTTTTTTTGTCCTCAGCTGTTAGAAATACATTTTACATTGCAACACAAATGTGTCTGCAAGTGTGTACCTGAAACAAAAATTTAAAAGTAGTGCCTGCTGGATATTTTCTATTTGTGTGTGTGCATGTGTACCTTAATGATAGTCTTAACCTTCTAAACTGATACTGTGGCCCAGTAGGTCTCTGGCTTAGCAGAATCAGGCATCCATCTGTCTGTGGGTCAGACATTGAACACACAGCAGGAAAATAGATGGGACTAATGGGGCCGACTCGATGGCAAATAACAACAACAAAAAAGTCTGTTTCCCAGTTCTAAGTTCATTGTATCCTATTGTCAGTTCCCAGGAGTAAGTCAAAGTGTCATAATCCTGTTGAGTGGAAACTTCACTACCTTATAGTTAAGAGAAACTATGTTTAAATAAGACTGGTTACAAAGCTAGTAGAATCATAGTGGCCTTCTTGGAGTGAGAGCCCTTAATTAAACATTTTATTTTTCACTTCTCAGAGATAGCAGCTCCCTGCCCCATTCCTGTGTCAGATCTTGTTTCCTGTATCTCATATATTTTTCTCTGTTGGTTTACTATCATTTTTATAGAACACATCCACCATCATCTTCTTGAGCAAGAGCAGCATGGAAAGTAAATGTTTTTGAGATTTTGCATGTTTGGAAAATGCCTTGGCTGACCAGTAGAATTTTGTTAGGTATCATTTTCCTTTAGAATGTTAAAAGCATCTTTCCTTCACCATCACAGTTGAAGTGTTGCCATTGAAAAGTCTGAAGCCATTTTGATTCCTATGCCTTATGTGATTTCTTTGTTTCCTCTGGGGCTGTACTCAGAAAGTCTTGTCTTTGTCACCAGTGTTCTGACATCCTATAGGGATGGAGCTTGTTGGAGTCTAGTTTTGCCCATTTTGCTTGGCACTGGGTCACCCTTTTAGTCTTTCAGTATATGCTCTTGAATTTAAGGGAATGTTTTTAAAATTATTTCTTCAAGTTTTGCTATTCTCTACATTTCTGGGGTTTTTGGTTATTTTTGTTTTCTTTTTTTCCTTTATAGAATTCCTCTTTACATATTTTACCTCTTAGACTAGACTTGTAATTCTTTTCTCCTATTTTCTATCTGTATCTTTTTGCTACACTTGGAAAGATTTCCTCTACTTCCGTTCATTCTGTTGAGTTTTTCACAAGGACTGTGTTTTATCTCAGTGTTTTCTTTGTTTTTTTATGTATGTATGTAACACACTATTCTTGTATGATGAAAGTATTTCTCAGATGGCATTGAGTGAGGTTTTTTTTTTTTTTTTGGTCATTTGGAAGTTTTCTTCTGTTTTGCATTCAATCTTCCATATTAGACGCTTTCCTTGGACATTTGAAAATTGTTGACTGCCTCTCATGAGTTGGGATCTAAAAAGCTTGTTAGAAGTTTTGAATGTCTAAATGAGGCTTGTTTACTTGAACCTCATTATAATGTGATAGGAGCTTTGGTGGTGCAGTGGTTAAATCATTTGGCTGCTAACCAAAAGGGCAGCAACTTGAACCTACCAGCTGCTCTGTAGGAGAAATAAGCAGCAGTCTGCTTCTGTAAAGATTTGCAACCTTGGAAACTATGGGGCAGTTCTCTGTCCTGTAGGGTCGCTATGAGTCAGGATCAACTCCATGACAGTGGATGAGTTTTTATAGGTTGATGTAGATGGGCTGTTTGGTTGTACCTCTCATGTCAATAGATGTAGAACTTTACTTTTTAGCTAATCATATTTCTCATTAAAAAAAAAAAACCAAACCTACTGCCATCGAGTTGCCAACTCATATCAGCCCTTCCTTAGGTTTCCGAGGCAGTATCACTACGGAAGTAGATTGCCCAACCTTCCGTCTGAGGAGTGGCTGATGAGTTTGTACCACCAGCCTTCTGGTTAGCAGTCAAATGCCTTAGGCACTACACCACCATTTCTCATAGAATAACATATATTCTACCTGGAGGATCCAAGTCTGTCTGCTAGGTTCTTGGAGTCAAATAAGGAAGCAAGACGATGTGATGCTTCTCTGTACTTAACATTCAGTTTGCATGTACTATTTCTGTTTGTCCTGGTGTTGGTATTTTCAGTAGCCATGGTTTTATAAAATGCCCAACGTTTACCTGATCCTGCTGTCCTCCAATCCAGGAGATGTCCTGTTTAATTCTCATCCAGAAGTAAACCTCCAACCTTCTGTCAGTGTTGTAGAGGGACATCACCAGCTGCAAGGAGCAGAGAATGATTATTGCCAAGGACTTTGCCATATTCTCCATATTTTAACCCCTCTCCCCTTCATTCCCAGTTCAGGAAGAATTTGGTGCTACTTTTACTCAGCTTTGTTTTTTTTTCTACTACTGGCTTGCAATTTGGCCTTTTCTATTCTGCTAACTGAAAAACTTTTAGTTATCACTTATCCATCTATTTTCTAGCTTCTGATATTTTGTTTTAGGTGTTTCTTATGCTTGTGGAATTCTGAAACATCCATTATTTTTTTAAAATGTGATTGGATGTACGGAGAGAATGAAGTTAAATAAATGCCTCTGTTCAGCCTGATACGTTGACTCAGAGGTCTTCTTTTCATTCTCTTGTAGACGTCTCTAACAAAAAAACCTTTAAATATACCCAAATATTTATTTATTTATGGTCTTCTTTAAGAAATTCTTTCCTACTGTGATACCACGAAGATTGTCTTGTAGTTCCGTACACCAGTTATCTGGCTTTCACGTTTAAGAATGAAAGACTGTCCTTTCACTGCTGGCGTGCAGTACCAGTGCAGCAGTCAGTCATGTGACCCTCTCTGGGCTCTAGACTCTGGGTGTATCTGCCAGCTTTCAGATACTGCTCACACAGCTGAGCAAGTTCTTCCACTGTGATCACTAGAGACTTTAAAGTTAGAACTGGTTTTAGTTCCAGTTCTGCCTCTTAATTGCTTTCTGAATTGGGGCAAGATAGTTAACTAACTTCTTAGTATCCCCATTGCCAACTTGGGCCTAGAAAGAGGATACTTTAAGCATTAGCAGTAAGCTATAGATTTCATTTTCTGATTTTCTTTATACCCTGCTCTTTTGTATCAGGGAGTATGAAAGGCAGTGTTATTATTCTAGATTACTGGAAAGACTAGGGAGGAGAGAGAGTTTTGTTTTTAAACAAAACTGATGCATGTTTCTTTTTTAAGTGTTCTAGGCATTCAGTAAATGAGTTCTCTTCAAAGGGTTAAGTCAAGCAGGTCTTAAGTAAATGATAAATTATACTATTATATGTGTTTTGTGTTTGTTTTATCATAGGATATATGATTGGATGCCTGAACAGCCAAATATATTCCAAGTGGAGCAGTTGGAACGCCTGAAGCAAGAATTACCAGAGCTTAAGAGCTGTTTGTGCCCCACTGTTAGCCGCTTTGTTCCCTCCTCTTTGTGTGGGGAGACTGACATCCCCATGGATGCCAACGGCATCGACAATGCGGAAAATGCTTAGTGTTTATTGCATAGAGGCCATTTGGGGGCACACACCAATATTCTGGGTATTCGCTTTTCATTATTGAGCGTTGTTTATCTATGCCTTTTGGGTTTCTCAGTCCAATGAAGCAATAATGAAGTATTTTACTATTTCACTACAGTTCTTGCTAGAATGTCAAGTATGCTATTTAAGTCACTTGGCCAGGTATAATTACCAGTCAGTCTCTTTACAATGAGAAGATTTATTGGTTGGTAAATATTTTAAACTAAAGATGTAAACCTATAATGTTAAACAAACATGCATTAATGAGAATAGCTCTTTGAAATTAAATATGTAAATATCTCATATTTTTACTTGTCACAGCTTTTCATTTGATCAGGTCTGAAATCTTTAGCACTTGAGGAAAATGACTATGCATAATTATACCTGACCGTGAGAAAAATAAGTACCTCAAATGCATGCCTTTGCACTGGTGATTCCAACTGCACAAATCTTGTGCCATCTGTGTACATATGTATTTTTACATGGCTTGACATGCACATACACCATTTTCCTTCAGTATGAACCTTGAGGCTGCTGCCATTTCCCACTTAAACAAACCAATGCCTGTGTCAACAGCCTGAAGATGAATCTTGAGCACTTGTTTCTTCACAAGTCTTTCAAAAGTTGTTTTTGCATAAATGTTAATATTTCAAAATGCTGCAGGGTAATTTAATGTATAAAATATTACTAAGAGGAAGTATGTGTTGCATACTTAGAGTAGATCACATGTATAATTTCTATTCCATGCATGCTTTGGGTTTTAAGCATGAGATTGTACACGTTTACTAAGTCCTTGCATCTGTGGTGCTAGGTGAGTGAGAAGGTGTCAAGGACTGAAAATATTTTGTTGCCTAAATTTGGGGGGGGGGATCGTGAAAAAAGGCCCATTTGTGGGCATTTTAAATATGCTTATTTAAGTGTCTCTCACTACCTATTACACACCGTTGCTTTGTGGATTTGTTTTGTGTGTTTTTGTTGTACAGTAGTTAAATCTCCATGCAGAAAAATAAATGTCCCGAATTCTCATATTAGTATTCTTTATTGGTTAATTATATCATGCATGTAATTTATTTAGAAATGTAGATGATCCTACTAAATGTATATGCATGTTTTTAAGATTATACTAAGGTCTCTTTCATTAGAAGCAGATTGTTTTGACATAACTGTAACTTAAGAATGAGTGTTAAATAAAATGACACAGATTTATTTTCTTCATTATAAAATGAAATTTCAAGAAGTTGTTACTTTTATACAATCATTTTTATAACACTGTTAGGAAAAATGGAAATTTAGTGTCTAGCCTAAAGGGATGGCTTATTGGCATCTGCCTTTTACTAAGTGTTCTTTGCTAGGCAGTTTATACATGTCTTGACATATTTGGTTAGTAGCTAAGAACCTAAGACTTGAAATTAAACATTGTATCTTTTTTATTTTTTTAAGCTAAGCAGTACAGTTTTGGTCAGATCTTAATTGTGTTGAGACAGGCCTTGAAATGCTATGGCGTTATATCTGTAACTGATATTTGTTGGGGAACTAGTTTAGAGAATGGAATATTCTGCAAGAGTTTTACTGTATTTTTTACACAAATAACACATGTGTTATACAGTTTCTGCAGACCATGCAACCCCATCGCATGTTACTTTCCTATGTGCAATATGCACATTATATGCATGTGGTTGTTTCTGTGGGTGTGTTATGTGAAAAATACAGTATATGCTTTTCCCACATTTAATGAGATTTTCCAACATTTTAGTATGAATTAGGAACTTTTAGAAAACTTGAAAAAGTATGTTTTACTCATTTGCAGACCGTTGTACAATATCCTACAGCGATTTGATTGGCCAGATGTGCCTCTAAATTGCTCCTTTGTTTTGTCCTTATGCCCTTCCAGTTCCAGCTTCATTTTGAAGAAACAAGGGCAGAAGGGAAGCAGATCATAGAGGAAGAAAGGGAAAGCAGAGAGGGGGAAGACAGGAGGTGTGGGTGCTCCTGAATAGTTTATATTTACTGAGAAGAGCTTACTACAGCTGCTTAAAATATACATAGAACCTCATTGCTGACTTCCTTTTCTGTCACTTCTTGCCCATAAGACCCAGTGATAGAAGATGAACATGGCAAGCAGTGGTTCCTTATTTTTAACAGGACAAGTCTAGACTGTATCACTTGCCACTGCCCTAAACACTTGGGTCCAGTCACACTGTACCCAGAAGCCCTCTCATGGATCCTTTCTCCCTGCCAGATTCTCGTTTCTTCTTGAGTTATCGATTTTCTCTCTTGAGCCCTTGCCAAAACTCCTTCAGAAGAGATCAATCAGTCTTTTTATTCCATAGCATTATGTTCATACTTTGATCATATTGTGTATCACAGTGAGTAGGCATAGTTGATGTCTGTTTCATCTACCAGCCTGTGAGTTCTCCAAGGGTAGGAACATTATCTTATTTATTTTTATTTCCACAGTACCTGGAACATAGTAGAAAATAAGTGTTGGAATGATTGGGATAATCTAATTTGTATAAAATATCATTTTGAATCAAGAGATTTAGACATGTTTACTAAGAATGTAAACTTTGAATTGGTATACATTTTGATCACTGAGATGGTTTATTGATATCAGTTTTGAAATGTAGAGGTATAATGTTAAATTATTTTATGTTTTTCTGGAAACTGAGTGAAATGCTTGATAAAGTGCCACCATGGTTCTGATATTTTCTATTCTCTGAAATTATGTACTGTAACTGACAGGATGTCAATGTGAGGAACATAGCTTACTCCTGTGTCAGTAGTGCCTGAGGGCTGCCATACCGGACCTCTTGCCACCCCATTTACCTCACTCACGTTGTTCCTTATGACACTCAGCTTTCTGCCTTCCAAACCCCATGCTTAGGCCTACCTCAGAACTGCTTTCCTTATCTGAAATGCCTTCCTCTGCCTTCCTTCAGTGTCCAGCTCAGGTGCCACCATCTCCATAAAACTTTCTTCAGCTTTTGATCAGTTTCATGTTTTAAGCCGGAAACAAATGCAGACAGCCTCTAAATTGCAGCTGAGGTGATAAACACAGAAGTTAAATGACTTACCAGGTTGGGACTAGAATCTGAGTTTTGTGACTTCTAATCTGGTGTTCTTAAACTATGCTACTTCTGAATTCTTGTAGCATTTGTTAGCATATGCTTTCTTATAGTCCAGCTTTCTATGCGCCTGTTATATTTCCCTAATAAGACTGTAAGCCCCTTAAGGGCAGGGACTTCTTTGCATTTCCAGCACTACTGTAGTGTTCTACTTAGTTATGAACTAGATAAATAAATGGTGGTGGCAACAATCCTAGTTTCCTACTCAGATTGTTTGGTGATATACACGCAATTTTGTGTTCAATGTTTGGCCATATTGTCTGGAGTGTGTATGTATGTGTGTGCATGCATGCATGTGTGTCTGTGCGTGTTAGCATATGAAGTTCTCATTTGTGCCCTGGTTGGTTGGGATCATCTCATATTTGAGAGGTTGCCCTAATCAATGAAGAGAATGACAGAAGAATAGTGATTTTTATTCCATTGATTTTAGTGGAAGAAATGATGCAGCTTTTCCTTAGTTGTGGTTGCCCCTTCCTGGGTAATACATCTAAATCCTGCTGCTGGTGGACTGACAGAGTGCAGAAAGTGCTGCCTTGGATAGGGCTTGCTTGGCCCATGTCGGAGACCACCTCATTAACCCTGATGGACAGTCATTGCCTTGCTTCCTCTTCACAGCTGTGACTGAATTTTGTCAGTCACATTCTGCTGGCTCAATGCTCCAGGCTGGATAATGGAATCTTGTTCATTTATATTTAGATCCAACTGATTTACTCACCTTTGCATTTCAAGTTAGGCTAGTAAGTAAAGTATGTATATTAGAAATACTGCATACTTTTGGTGTTCATTATTAGAAATTCATTCAGATATTACCTCTTAATAGACATATACTTTGAGATACAGATTTGGAATGTTAAATAATGCAAGAGGACATATGATTAAGGCCATACCAGTATGTGCTGTGGGAGTTAAGAAGGAGAGATCATGGATTGGAAGAAAACTTCATGGTGCTCTCAAACTCATAACAAAAAGGGGTAGATATCAACATAGTTGAGAAACCAGTTTGGGCACTCAGCCTCTGTAAACTCAGGCCAGGGTAGTATTTGTGGTGTGTTAAGGGGGAATGAAAGTCCCATCCTGACAATGGAGAGGAGATTATGAATGCCAGATACAAGCATTTTATCCTTTCAGGAGATAGAGGTTTATTAACGATTTTAAAGAAGGAAAGTGACATGAAAGGCATGCATATTATGCAAGGGATATTCAAAAACACTACCACTGAGTCAGTTCTGACTCAGCAACCATATGGGACAAAGTGGAACTGCCCCATAGGGTTTCCAAGACTAAATCTTTGCAGAAGCACACTGCCTCATCCACCTTTGGTTTAGCAGCCAAATGCCTTCACCAGTGCACCACCAGAGTTCCTTAAGGTGATCTTAGTAAAGGAATAATACAAGGAGAAGTGCTGGGGTTGATCTGTCCGTCCTCTTCTAAATCGATCCAAATGTGCCTCTTCTTCCTCTGATAGAGAATAGAAGTGTGGATGGGACGGGTAAACTTAGGAAATTTACTTGCAAAGCCAAACTTACAGTTTTTTTCAGGAAGAAAGCGGTAAAATCTTAGCAAAGGCTTGCATCCCATGGTTTCAAATGCCATTTGTAGATCACTGCCAAGTATCTCTCTTCAGCCTAAACTTCTCCCCTAAACTCCAGGTTCACACATCCAGCTGTCTGTCCCCGTCTCCCATGATTTTTCTCTTATTGCAACCATGAGATTCTTGGAACTTTGTGTTATATCTGATAAGGTGTCTGTCCAATTGTTCTTACTCAAATTTCATTTATTTACCCACATTTTCGTATGTTTAATAACTTGAGAATCCCCTTATCAAATACCTGAAAAAAAGCCTTTTGGGCT